AATTTTTACTCGAATTTTATCAACTTTACCGAAAAATGGCAAGAGATAAAAATTGCTTATTTTCTTCTCATCTAAGAATTTTCTTCAAGAAAATGCAAGAAAATGTACTAAAAAGTTAATAAAAAATTCTTAGAGCCCGATGAGAAGAAAATAAGCAATTTATATCTCTTGCCATTTTTCGGTAAAGTTGATAGAATTCGAGTAAAAATTTATTGAAACCAATAATTGTAGATATTTCCATAAATATCTTAAAAAATGAGGATCGTATGAAAAAAAATTTCAAACAAAAGCTGTTTGTTTCTTTACGTAGAATAAAATTCCGTAATAAAAAATATATATTTCTATTTAAAAAAGCAAAGTTGACGTTGACCTGATCTTGGCGGCGCCATCCAAGGTCAAATCAATGATACCATCTTATGTACATCTCGAAACCATACAACTTTTCTTTGAAACGTTTTTTTCTAAAATGCTCTGTTTCCGAGATAAAAGGGGTGTACGGGTGGTCTCAGACACTCTGTATATATATATATTAATTTATTTTATTTATTTTAATGATTTCAATCATCATTAATTATAATTTATCATTAGTATTATTATTATTTAGTGTTCTTAATTGTATCATTCGTTATATTATTATTGTGTAAAGCCGTCGGAAATAACTGTCAATTTTGACAGTTTGGTATGTTCCTAATCTTTCATTGTCTCTGAGCGTTTTATAATCCACCGTACAATAATTATAGGTCTGTTCTTTTCAACTGCACTACTGCATTGGTGCAATAAGTTAGAATAAGACAAATATATTTTATCTTACTTTAACATGTTGCAACAGTGCAACTGAAAAGAACAGAGCATATGTATAATCAATTGGAAATCGGTTTGCACGCTTTTTATCCAATAAAGTTGCAATTCTTCAAGTTGTCAGAATTGAAAACTATACGCTGACGTGTATGCAATAATAGGTTGTGCCGCGAAGTGACAATATAAAGTGTGACATTTGTGAAATTTGACAGAGAGAATTTTTTAAAATTAAAACAACTCGCACATTATTTGGAGAAGTAATTTTTATTTATTTATAATATTAAATATTATTTAATATTATTTAATATTATTTATAATAATTTATATATTACTGCGCATAATATGTCAGCAGTGGCTCGCCATTTTGACAACTCGAAGCATTGCAATTTCATTCGATAAAAAACTTCAGACTTTTATTTGTGAGTTAAGGAACGCATTCGTCTTGTCTAACGGGAAAGTCTGTTTTTTTCCACTAGGAGAATTCTCTCATTGAATAGGACGGATACGTTCCTAAGCTCACAAATAAAGCCTGACATATCCCTAAGGGTGAATGTACACTTAGAAAATTGTACTTTCCCGATACTTCTTGAGATTTCTCCCATTGGACAGTACAAATATGTTCCTAAACTCACAAATAAAAACCTGACAATCTTCCTAAGGGCGAGTGCATACTCAGAAAATCGTACTTCTCGACGGTCAATTTTATATGGATCACAAGACTCTTCATCTTTTATGACTATTTTACACAAAAAACAATTTCTATTTAAACGGGATTGATATCTGGATCCTAAAGGGTTAATTAGCTTTTAATAATTCTGTCCTCCCTCGATGGACCCATTAACTTCCGATATGATATTAATAAATCAATGAAGTGTCTTACGTATCGTCTGCGTGGCCGTCATTGATATTCGCGACTTCATCATCATAGTCCGCCGCGTCGGAGTATTATCCGTCATACTCGCGCTGCATATTTCCTTTTTAATTCCGTCTCGCAATTATACCGGCGTTTATACCGGGCCCCGCGTCTTCCATCATCCACGATCGCGAAATGATCGCTCCGTTGAATGCTCGGCGCGAGACCATTAAATGAGGGAATTATAAGCGATACGATGCGTTGACGATACGAGAGTAAAGTGTTACGATGCAAATGTAGAACGTGTATCGTGAATGAACAGTTATAGATACATCGCGGGTGAAGGTTGATATATATACTTACTTCGGGGAGGTTTAGAAATCATGAAAGCATTTATTAGATGCTTGCAAAAGTTCGTAAGATTATAAATAGATGGCTGTAATAACGACTTAGTAATTGTTTTTCTTTAAGTTTGCTATTTAGTTTCTAAATGTTAACCATATTCGATCAGAATTGATGATTGATAAGTCACAGTTTCGAACAATACGTTACATTTAACACCATTGAAGATGGGACCGAATAAGATTTATCTTTGCCACTAGATGCTTCACCACCTTAATCGAGGTGAAACTTTTGCACAACTGATTTGTAAGACCTATGAGAATATTGTGTACGTTGCTATCTGTGAGAAGTAGTTTAGAAGATTTTAAAATGGTGATTATGATGTCAACGACAAGCCATGTTCTAGTCGTTCAAACGAGATGGAAAACAACGAATTGGAACAAAAATTTAGTCTAAACGAGATGGAAAACAACGAATTACTCAACGAAAACTTGGTCTAAACATTAAAAGAGTTTGCAGGATAGCTTGGAGTTGATGAACCAATGGTATCTCGCCATTTGAAAGCAATGGGAAAAATGGCTTTCCTATAAACCGGATTATCCTCTACCTGTCTCTCATTGTTTGCCAGACACAGAAAGAGTTTTTTGTAGCGAATAATTACGGGTGATCTATTTTGACAATCCTAAATGCAAAACGTCATAGCTTGATCAACCATTAACATTCATAACAAAACACAACATCCACGGTCATAAGACTCTCCTATGCATCTGGTGGGTTCAAGAAGGAATGTTTTACTATGAATTATTATCACCAGGGTAAACAGTCACAGAAGATCAGTACAGTCAACTATTATGACAATTGAATTAAATCATGAAGAAAAAACGCCTTCAAATAGCCGCGAATTGATGCAAAATTATTCTGTTTCACGACAACCCCAAGCCACATGTTGCTGTTGCGACTAAAGAGACATTGTTCGAGTTAGTTTGGAAAGTTCTGCCGTACCCAACGCACTCTCCAGACATCGCCCTATCTGATTTTCACTTATTCAGATACACAGTTCCGAAATGCTGAGACAGTATGAAAATGGATTAATGAATGGATTGCCTAAGAAAATGTGTCCTTTTATCGGCGTGGAATCAGGTTATTGCCCGAAAGATAAAAAAAGCTTATTGATAGTAACAGTCAATACTTCGATTAAAATATTACATGTCATCTCAATCTTGTTGAATTAATGAATAAAAATAGTTTTAATATAACCATATAAACTTTTGCAAGCATCTAATACTTAATCACTGTCGATGACTACGCCAAAGAATTTCATCTTGAGACGTCTTTCTTCCTCAATTTTTCCCAATATTTCATCTCGCAACTTTATTTTTCCAACGGGAGAGAGTTTTTACTTTCGCACTACATTCGCGAGGCAATCTTTGAACAGCAGAAGTGTCCCGTTAATCGCCTGGGACAATCACGTATTATTATGATGAGGACGAATCATTTTTATTATGCGTCAAATGAGAGAGAGTGCCACGTGGCAAGAATACATTAATATTATTAACACGAAGCGCACGGTGTACAACGCTATGAGTCGAGAATTGAGAATCAGTACATGTATATAAGCGAAATTCATATATATATGAATGTAATAAATAAACAGGAAACGGAAATCGAGATGCAAAATGGTTGTTTTTAATTAGATTTTTTAGTTAGATATCTTTAGTTAGATATTTTTAGTTAGATATCTTTAGCTACAATCTACAAAGCAAATTTTTACAAAGCAAGAGAGAATCTTAGAGCCGCGAAAATTCGCTCGAGTATATTCTCTAAATTTCCTGAAGTAGAACTCACTCAAAAGTGAAAAGTGGCAATATTTTCATCCCAAGCAGTAGTGAAAATATTGCCACTCGAAATCGCAAGGGTGTATGTTTCATTCAAGCTCAGAGTGGATTCTAACTCCATTTGAGGGAATGTTTCAATTGAACAGAGTGGTCAGATAAAAGAATCGAATAGAATATATTTCTCACGTAAAAAAATATAATCTTATTTTTAACGAATATTCTTTTATATGTGACCTCAAGAGGATTCTTCTAAAATTAAAAGGAAAGTATTCTAATATCGAATAAAAAAAAAACTCTAATTTTACATAATGTATTTCCTGCAATTCCGTATTCCAAGCGAAAATTCTTATCGAAAGAATATTTCTCTTCTGTTAAAGTGAACTATTGATCGGTGATTGATCTACTAAATCTTGTTGTAATTTTTTTTCTTTTGAATTAAAAAAAAGAGAATGTTTATTTGAGGCAGAATGTCTCCTTACTAGAAGAAATTTTTATTAAGGACAAAAATTGTAAATAAAAGACAAACTTTTAAGAATATTTTACGAATATTTAGAGAATATTTCTTTTAATTAAAAAAAAAATCCTCTTGTGTGTGAAGTTATATATAAAAGGATATCTCCTTTAAGAATAAAATTATATTCTATATGTTGCGATAATAAAGCACATCAGATTCACTCTTCAATTTCGAGTGAAAATGGAGTAGAGAATTCATTCTGTATAAGTGAAAAATCACTCAAATTCGAATAACTCGGCGAAGTCACTTTACTTTCCAAATAAAATTTCATTTCAAGAAATTTAGAGAGTGAAAGAAGGTCGAACCTGGGTATCAATCATAAATCTTATCACGTGAACTCGATCTTATCAATCACGTAAATTTTTTCTTAGTATGAAATCATAAAAAATAATTTTTCCACTTGGTGGAAATAATGAATATTCTTTTCCAACATATACTTTCACGAGTTCATATTAGAAGAAAAGGTCCTCTGAACCTAAAACGTTCAATCCGCTATTATTAACGAAGACGCTATTATTAACGAGAAGAGTACTAATAATTTTTTTCTGCAACCTGTCGCGCCGAGAAAAGCACAAGGGGGAGAAGAAGCGGACGAGAATTTCAGTTACAAACGCGTTTACGACGGACGTAATGGCGGCTGTTTCCTCTCGTCACGTTGCAGGCACAGGCAGGAACATCAGGCACTTGCCCTGCGTGTCACGCAGGAGCGGCGAGACGGGCGTGTGCATGTTCGCGTTTACCTGCGCGAAGGCTAATGGCACGCATCTCGGCACCTGCATCGATCGCTTCTACTTCGGTAGTTGCTGCAAAATCGACGACGAGCCGGACATCTACCCGCAGGACAACAGCATCGACGACGGCCCGTCGCCGCCAAGGCCGTCGTTTATCACAACCCACGGGCCCATCGAGAGCAACGACATACCGGAGTACTTCGCAAGGCCGAAGCCGACCGTCGAGAAGAACGGGGCCGGCTCGCAAGCCACGGTAAGTAAACGCGATCGCTAATGAAGCCGACTCTCGGCTGGGCTGCAGTGCGCGACGTCGCGACGTGAGACACGCGGCATGACGGCTTGAAATTCTCCGAGGCGGATCAATGGGATCGAAGTAACGTCACTTGGCGAGGATTACCGCACGGTCAGCTTGCTGACGGCGCCGTCGCCGCCGCCACGTTAATGAAATGGACAGCCTGATAAATGGCAGTGTCCGTCACGTCGACGGATTAGTTCGAGTATTTTGCGCTCGCTACTTGTAGGAGGCGGGATTACATTCTAATTTAATTGCCTTATCGTAAATCAAATTTCAAGAGATCACGCAGATGAAGAACTGTTGGACGGTGCGACGCGAGGGGGTGAACGACCGCGGCGGGTCGTGAAGTAGCTCGAATCGCGACGCGTTCAGAACAGCGAGAAACGTATTTTCTCGGCTGGTTCAGCTATATCATAATAACTTTCTACTGTGCTCACGTACATGAGATCACTACATGGGGGAAAGGCTTGGTGGCTGGCATGACCTCACACAATTGATTCATAGACGAAGGAAGAAAGTACATTCACTCGAATGGCAGTTAACCACAATGTGTGCGGCAATGCGTGCGTTGCGTGAATCCGATCGCACCGAAATCGCGCGTTCTTCCGAATAAATATCCACTCGTTGTAATACGGTCGACCGGCGAAATAACGAAGATCAATATATAGAAATGTTTCCACCGAAAATATATTTTCTTTCAAAAGAAAAAAAACAATAAAAAAACCCATCCTCTCGCAATCGCGAAAATTCGTGAAAAAGCAATTCGCGTTAAATTCGTGTTTTCAGTCGACTACAGAATGTCGCGCAAAATGTCGAATACGCAATAAATTAAAGTCGGCTCTATCAGCCGACTGGAAGATTTGCGGCCGATTGCCAAGCTGCATATATTTTCTTCGTATCGGTAAAACATAATTTTCACAGGTCGATAATTTTGGTGAAATTTTAGACGACGTCTGTAAGCTCGAGCACGCCGCAAGCTTCGACGAACACATTGAGGGACACAACGAAGTTTGTGACGAGGAAGCCGACGATCACGACGATCGAAACGACCACGCAAACCACTCGGCTCTCGACATTCCAGACCGTGCAGAGCGCTCCCGAGGGAGCCTCCAGCACGGAGGCCACTTTGTCGAAGAGCACCGTCGGCACTATCGGCACCGTCAATAATAGACCGTCGAGCGTGTCGTCGAGCACAACGAGGAGACCCACGAAACCGTCCACTACGTCCTCCAGCCTACGACCCAGCACGGAGAACACGACGAAACAGAGCGTCACCGCGGCAGCTTCGAAAGCGACCACGAAGAGGCCCATCCCCACGACCACAGTGCAGAGACCAACGCATACCTCGCCCAAGCCGAGCTCGCCGACCACCCGCAGGCCCGTCCAATCGACCACGAAGACCGAGCCAGCCACCACGCAGAAAACGGTATCCTTGACCAGGTTCCCACCAAGGAACTCGACATCGCCCCAGCCGCTGACTCAGGCGACCACCAGAAAGCCTGTCAGCACCACCAAGAGGCCACCCGCTATCGCCACCAATACTATCACAACAGTTTTGTTACCAGCGGTAACAAAACGTCCGGTGGCGACCACGAAGAAGCCTACCACGTTAACGAAGAGACCGTCGAGTTCCTCAAAACCCAGCGTGAACTTTAGTCTCGATACTACTTTGGCAGCGACTACCAGACCTCACACAACTTCCGGATCACTTAGCGTCGGACCTTCGAGCGCGAGCATCACGGGAAGTACCTTAACCTTCACTGAAAGCCGACCGTCCGCCGTGGGCACGACGACTGCGAGCACGACCAGTCAGAAGATTACTGCTACTAATACTGTTATCACGACCAAAAGTCCCGACCAGAAGCCGTCCACCACGAGAACGACGACGACTCCGCGAACGACCCCAAAGACGACCACGAAGACGTCGACGATCAGAACGACTACGACCAGGCCGACTACGACCAGGCCGACTACGACCAGGCCGACTACGATCAGGACGACTACGACCAGGCCGACTACGACCAGACCAACTACGACCAGACTGACAACGACGGTGAAAACAACGATTGACAGCAAAACCACCACGCCTAAGCCATTACCGTTGACCACGGCGTACGTGAAACCCACCAAGATCACTACCACGACGACGAAGACTACTAAACCTAACGAGTATGCGAGCACCGCGACGACCACGGAGAGAACGAGGTTGCCGTTACCGTCGACTGTTGGCTCGACAGTCGGCGTTACGAGACCTAAACCCACCACGATGAAACCCACGAAACCCCTGACGAAGCTCCCGGCGACCACGTCCAGCATCGCAGAAATCACCACGGTCGGCTCGAGTTCGCTGTCCACGTTTACCGTTAAAGACGAGACTGCATCGACAAATATACCGCCTACGAAAGGTCAGGATGTTAATAACACTCTCGAAGAGATCCCGTTGACTACCTATTCACCTGGTTTGGTCACATGGAGCTCGAATTCCGATGAGGTATCCACGAGGGCGCCCGAGACGTCAACATCGACATCTTCGTCGGCGCCTCCGACAACTACGACAACGTCTACGCCGCCAGGTGAGTACACGCAGAAAAATACTGTGATATAATCAGTGTGTAAGATTCAGAATGTATTTTGATGAAACTCGATATTTATGATAATTTCGCGAATATATAACTTAAATGTATAACTACAGGAAAAAACAGTATGACTGGCCCATTCACAATAGATTTTCAAGTATTTTTTTAAGTTTTAAGTTTTCAAGTATTCTTAGTGTAATAAGAAAATATATATTTTCTTAAAACCTTAGCTCTCTATGAAAAATCGATTGTTTATTCTACTTAAATAAAAAATTTAAATTTAAATAGATATGCTATTAATAGTCACCGAATATTTTTTTTCATTTTTTAGTTATTTTTCTCTCACAGTGTAGCACGTTTAGTATTTCAATCAAAAATATTAAATTAAAACAGAACTTCAGTCTGCTTTATTACATAGAGTCGAACCAACTCTCTCTTTCTCTTCGATAAAATTTTATAATATTCTTTTAAAGAAAGTAAACTTTTCTCGTGAATATATGGTAATAGGTTTTTCTAATGAATATTTTAAGATTTTTTAATGAATATTTTAAGATTTTTATCAAGAAAATATTCTTTGTTAAAGATAGTTTTTTATTAGTTAAGCGAAGAAACTTTGTAATCGCTTTTCTTGGAGAGCAGAAGGATATTTTTCTGTGTGTTTTTTCAGAGGAAACTGCCAATCTTCACACAATCTAAGTATTAGTAATTCTATATTAAATTATAAATCAATCAGAGTCACACATAATGCCTCAAGTAAATTTAATTATTCGACTGTAACGTTACATGCTAATCGTGATATTTATTGTAATTTTCCACACTGTTTTCCATTGCTGTCCGCGAAATTTATCACGATTTTTTTCAAAATTTAATATGGACGTTATTGTATTACATACCAATAATTTTTAAGAGAATAATTTATCGGGATCTGTTAATGCATAAATATGCAATGCATAGATATCAAAATATGCAAATTCGAAACACGAGACAGGTGTAGTATTATCAGGGAAAGGATCATTTTCTCGCGCAATTTGGTTACTGCACAAACGATCGATGAAAAGTGTCGAAAGCGAAGTGCAATAAATTCACGAGCGATCCACCCATCCATCAAATCGCTCGCCGAGGTTTCGCTATTCTCTCGGCGTTGGTTTTCATGCACGCAACGCCCCGCACGACACGCGCATTGCTATTAGTATGATTTCCTATTGGCGACAAAGGCGTCGCGTTACACAATGAACGTCCGTTTTCTGCGATTTCACCGGTTTAGCATACAGACGCGGCACGCAAATAAACCTGCTAATCACGTTTCCAATAATTCCTCGAAGGTGGTGATTGATGCTGACGAAGGGTGCATGTTTAAAACCCACGCGACCGCGCGTCACCCGATACAAAGTGAATTATCGGCACGTCGAAGAGATTGATCACCGAGTGAAAGATCAAATATCGAGCAAAATGATCTCTCAAGTGTCGCGTATGGAAGACCTAAAAAAGGAGAACCAATTAAATTCGCAAGATGCGCGTTTCAAACGCGAGGTCGCGCCACAAGCGGACTTGGCGTATCGTAGTCTTACAGGTTGACTCTTATTCCAATTCAAGAATAATCTTTGTTAGAGAATAAGGTTTATGGGACACACAAGAACGTAAATAGATTGATTAACCAGTTGATTGTACTCTTTATAATCCAAGAATAATCGACTGTGATTGGACAATTTTCTTACTACTTGCGTTATGTGCCATGAGTCTTTCGTACACGAATTATTGTAAATCGTAGATATATTCTCAAAATTTCTTAGAGTGAAATTTCAGTGGAAAAGTAGAATAACAGCTGAATCATACGAACTTTAGTTTATTTTCATTGTTATAGAATGAATTCTTCACTTTAAGTCGTAGAGTGAATATTTTCACTCAAAATGAAAGAGTTAATCTGATGTATTCCATCGTCAGAGAAACATATTCACTGTCTAGATATAGCTTTCGGAATGGAATGGAACATATTCACTCTAGTCAATTGAAATATTCATTCATATCGAGTTAGAATCCTTTCTGAGCTTGAATGGAATATTTACACTTGCGATTTCAAATATTTACACTATCGCTTCGAGTGAAAATATTGCCACTTTTTACTCGTTTTGCGTGAACGTTCACTCTAAGAAATTTAAAGAATAAGACGTAACTTCAGTCAAAAAATCAATCAAGATATTACTACAGTTGTGTGTATATATTTTTTAAAAGATAATACGTTCAAGAAAATATAATCTTATTCTTAGCGGACTCTTCTAAAACCAAAAGAAAAATATTTTAAGCACAATATTTTTAAAGTTAAAGGAATTTCTTTTATCTACAGTACACGTGTTCATAATAAAAGTTTTACGTGTTCATAATAAAAATTTCTTTGAGTAAAACAATATTTTCTCTACTTCAAATAAATATATTTCCTTAATATACAAAAAGGAAAAGTTAGAATAATATCTAGCAGATTTTCTTTATAGTTTATTTTTTTAATAGTTTATTTCTCTCATTAGAATATTTTTTCAAATAAAAGTTTTTACTTAGAATATGAAAAATACAACAGAAAATAACATTTTGCAATTAAAATTATTTTTTTTAGTATTAGGTTATATTTTCTTTGGTTCTAGAAAAATTTTTTTAAGGCCAAATAACAACAAGATTTACAGAAAGAAAAATATGGTGCATATAACCAGAAATATTTAGTTGTGAGCAGTATAGTTGCATCAACCTAATTATCTTTATATGATGGTAATGTATATGATTGATGTGTATGATTGATTGATTGATTGATGATTATTAGTCACCTCAATGTTGTGCGTGATCCGGTTGTGATTATTAAATATTGATTGAGATAACATTTGCTATAGATATATGACTGATTGAAGTATCCATTTCAACTAGATATCGTCACTGTTGCAATGCCAATAACTCAGCAATTGCTTTGTGGTTGCAGCAACCACACAATTACTTGTGTGTGTGTTTCGCATTTCACTATTAAATCTGGCTGGCACAATCAAATTTATGTGTGGACCAACTGTGCTGTTTCTTCCGTGTGAAATTATATTTTTTAGGGTACAGAACTGTCTGTAAATCTGATCGTATGCAGAAGTAATAAGAATTCGTCTGATTGAAGTGTTTGCTTTCGGTTGAAAATTCACTTCTGGCTCAACGATTCATCCGGTTGAAAACTTACAGAGTCACTTCAATCTTCCACTAGCTAGAAAAATCCTAAAGCAATATCCCGATTGGATTTCTAGCTTGAGTTTATGTTTCACGTGCACCTCTTACGTCAATTCGTGCGCGAGAGCTTTAAGCGACGAGCTTAGACTCTTCATTTCCCGAATTTTTTTAGTATTCCACCCTAGAGAGAATGAAAGAAAGAGAGAGAGAGATAGAAGAGAGAGAATATTATTGACCGCCCCACCGAGTTACAAGTTCACGCGCGTTTGATGGGGTCAATGATTCGGCCGATGTAATGCGTTTGGACCGGTTTCGCCCGAGGCGATGTCACCGGCTCGCGCGTTCAACGTCACACGTCCTCAAGTGGCGTAATTGCATCTCGATTGCGTGCCGCGGTCAGATCGGTGAAACTGGACTACGGTGTGGCGGTAAGTGGGTGATTCGTCCCGCATCCCGCGTTCGTTCGTTCGTTTGTTCGATAAACTATAAGCTTTATCCTGGGGCCGCGTGAGGACGAAGTGAGCCTCGTGGATGCGAGCCAAGGCCGTTCATCGGGCCTAGGATATACATCGTGCTAACGTAACGCTATGTGGATCACGGCGGTGCCGGCGCAGATATCACCGGACTATGATGTACGGGTTGGGACGTCGTAACGGTTCGTAAACCGGCCATCGCGGAGCTGGCTCCCCGCCGACGCGACCTGATCATCTCCTTCGTCCTCTGCAAGCCACTCGAATTATTCTCTAATAACTATGCTCCACTCTCTGGGCGGATATGTCTCGCATGGAGAAGAGAAAAAGAGAAAGAGAGACAGAGAGAGAGAGAGAGAGAGAGGGGAGAGAAGAGAGGAGAGAGAGAAAGAGAGAGAGAATTCGACCACCCCAAATCGGAGAATCAAACCGGTTCGTGCTGCCTCGAGAATTAGCATGGCGTATATCTGGCTCGAAACTAAGGCATTCTGAGAAATGGAGGTTCACGGACTGAAAGAGAGGTCCTTCTCATCTTTTTTTGGCGTGTACAGGGTGTCCACGGGCATGTAGAATGAATTTGCAGGCCAACTTGGGGTCGATTTGTTCGTGGCGAGAATAACGAGGAGAGATTGCTGTTATTCGTTCTTGCAGCTCTCTTATCGCGTTCGGTTATTTTTTTTCATGGAGGCAATTAAGAAATAATGGCCCCTTAGTTAATAGATTCGCGGCCGTTCGTTGTACTGTAATTAAGATCCATATTAATATCGCGTGTTCGCTTCGCAGAGCACACTGAGACCGATTGGTCGCCGATAACGACTCTCGATGACTGGATAATGATTCAGTTGCCTACCGAAAAGTTACCGCAAACTCCAGAGTCGACGACCGAACCGGTTACGGAACCCACTATGCAGTCTTTGACTTCTGGTAAGGCATATTAATTGTAGCTTTTGTGAGCGCCTGCGGAATTCATTCGCGAAAGATCGAGAAACTTTTAAGAGTCGGGGAGAGTATTATAATCGTACAAACCAACGCGCATAGGGACTTGAAAGGAATATCTTCTAATAAGTCTTAATAAAGAAAATCAACGAGTAAAGTTCTCACTAAATTTTAGCATTCCAACAACCCGTTTTCAACTAAACGTTCTTCCGGTAAAATTCTCTCAAGTAATACGCTTTATGTACGTGTTTCCGTTTTATATGGATGGAAATGTAAAATTGATCGTTCGGATATAATAAAACTATTGTACATTGAGAGAAAAAAATATTAAAAAAACAGTAAATATATTTATTTGGCAAGTAGCTGCTATTAATAACGAATTTGCTCTTATATTGATGTAAAATATTTTTTAAAATATACATTTTCTCTCTCTCGAAACCTTATAAGGAGAATATTATAAGTTTTCTTTCCATATAAATTATTATTATTTTCAACTTTAGTATGTTTTTATTGTTTTTAGTATGTTTTTAAATAAAAGAATTTGAATTTGAGCAAATATGTTATTGGTACCTACCAAATAAATATTTACTATTTTCTTGATATTTTTTCTCTCAGTGTAGAGTGCAGTCTCCTTTTCAAATTAGTTGTTCATATTTCCGTCAGGTCACGTCAATCATTATACTAAAAAACTTTTCTTATTTTGGAAACGCTATCATAAAGTATGTTGTTTGTTCAACTGATCTAATTTCACTCGTTTGAGAACTTCCGACTGCTCTGGATTTCCAGCCAAGCCGATAACGGAGAGCACCACGATTTCCGATTACGTCACGAAGAAGCCAATGACGCTAACCACTTTGTCAACCATCGCCAGCGTTACGATCAACACGGAGCTTCCAATAACGAAAGAGACTTTCAATATGTCAAACTACAAAGAAGGTTAATACGTAAATATTATCACGCTGTAATATTGCCGACGAGCGCATCATGCATCGAGCGTCGATGTGCATGAATAAAAGAAATTAGATCGTTCAGAGACTGGGTGACCGGAACGAATCGTTAGTCGACTAGAACTAGTCAGGACTAAAAACAAAATGATCGGTGAAACGCGGAACTGGATTCGGGTCACTGTAGGAATTCGCGTTGTTCCGTTCGATTTTGCCCCAGTTAAACACCCCGAGGATGATCCAACTTCGGGTCGCACGAGAAGGCGCGCACGCCCTCGTCTTCATCTTTCCGTAGAGATACCGAGCCTTCCGCTCGATAAGGCAGACAACTGTTCATTCATGAGATGACACGTCGCACGTGTGCGTTTCACGAGTAAAAAATAACTACATGGAGTAGGACGAGAGATTTATATCATTATGGACACTTTCTGAAGCTCCTTTTTGCTTTAAAAAAGTATTTTAACATCGGCATTTACTCAATTCATAATTTCGGATTTCCATAACTTCCCTTACACTGAGAGAAAAAATATCCAAAACGATAAAAGACATTTATTCGGTAGATACTAATAGCATATTTACTTAACTTCAACTTCTTTTGTTTAAATAAAATAAACAACTGCTTTCATAGAAAGCTAAGTTTTTAAGTTTCCTGAGTAGCGATCATGTAACTTTTTCCTAAAAGTGGGAATGTGAAAAGTGACAAGTTTCACGTGAACTCGACTCATGCAACTTCTCGAACAATGGGAGTGCGAAAATTTTCACATGAAACTTTTCACTTTCCACGAATTTATGTTAAGAGAAAAGATGCGTGACCGATATCTTGATCTCTCGCCGCGGAACTCTCGACTGATGACGTCAGAAGCAAGAAAACGCATACTCAAAATTCTTGCGAGAAACGCTGAAATAAAAGGACATGTCCAAAGTGATCCTTAGAATCGAATAAACACATCTGTAAAATATTCCGACAACTTTCCGTTCCATCTAACAATAAATCAATAAATAAACGTAAAATTGACGTGACATGCATTAAAAAAATTATTTTTATATTTGGAACTAAAACATCTGGTACATACAATTGGTATTACTATATTGTGCTAAGTAGAAAGTATTAGTAGTTACTTGTTATGTATTAGTAATTACTTGTGTCAAGTAGAATGCATAAATAAGAAAGCAAAACACGCAATTAAATGTTTTACTTGCAGTCACTAAACATTTAGTTGATCCCATCTTAACCAAATTTTGGCCCATTGTACTAAATTTTCGTTTCGAGGACAAAATCTTCTTTTCAGTTGTACCAACTCTCTTTTAAGCCTACTTTTGCTCATGATATTGTCACGTTAATTTTATGGCTATTTATTGATTATTAAAGTAAAAGAAATATTCTCGGAATACTTTACAAATGTGTTCAATCGATCACAAGCGTCATTTTACAGACACAACTTTTTATTCTGCAAGAATTTTGGACATTTTCTCGCTACCGACGTCATTAAACAAGACGACCGCAGTGAGGAACCGTAAAAACGTATATTTTTTTATTTGAAAGATATATTTTATATCGATATAAGTAAATTAAAATAAATTATTAGTACCCACCGAGTAAATATTTTTACTTCTTAGGTATTCTTCTCTCAGTGTATATGATAAGCATTTACAAAGTAACAATCAAGTAACAAAGTAACTATCGACGTTAAATAGTTACAATGACGTACGGTGAATATTATAATTTACGCGTTCGCAATCGCTTTTCATGTCATTAACTAGATGTTTAAGCCGTCGTTAGGGACCGATCGTGATAGGCGGCGGGACTTTATTCAGACGATAACACGACGCAATATCACAACACAAGCGACACAAGCGTCGTAAGTTTTAAAACCCAGCAATTACCTGCAATCTGTATATGACACGCGGCATCTCTCAAGCGACGCAAGTACGAGCGCAATATGATCGATGTAATGAAAAGGAAAAAAAACAGAAATTCTAATTCCGCTGGCGGGGAAGCTCGCGAGAATTAAACCGAGCGACGCATCCGCGTCAGCGGATAAAACGGTACCGGTTTTATGCAGTCGAATGAACGCAGCCAGCTGCTTCTCCAGCATGACCGTCCCACCGAGAATCGCGAATTTTTCTCAAGGTGTAAACTCGATTTTTATCCTAGCAGTGTGCGGCCGAAGACTTTTCCCGGAATCTAGAATCGTCGGCGGTAGCCAGAGCTCTTTCGGAAAATGGCCTTGGCAGGTAAGCACCGACAAATTTATCGAAATTATCGAAATCCAACGTTGGGCATTACATTGAAAAAGGGACTTTGTTATCGAAACTTTGTAAGTTTGGTACATCGGACAAATCGATCACAATTCGATCAAAATGGGATCACCAAGTTTGATGATTACAATCAAAAGATTTGTGCTTGTGTGTTTTGCTTTCTCAATAATGCATATATTTGACATAAGCATAAAACATGTAATGTCAATTAAGTCGTATGTACAAAATATTTTAATTCCAAATACAAAAATCATTTTTCAGTGTAATCAATTAAAATCTTTTTTGATCAAAATAATCGATAAGTCAAAAATCAATAATTAATCAATCGTTATATACGTAGTTACAAATAATTTCATCGACAGGTAAAATTATTAATTTAATAAAACTGATGTGATTGATTATATACACATATATATTATACTGTACATACACGACAAAAAAAAGTTTCGTTCATTTAACCAAATGTTTGAACCAGAAATCCGATTAAAATTACCAGAACTCTGAGTTCGAGTCAACAAGATGTCTAGTGAATCAGAACTGTTGTAAAGGTTAAATTATTTAGTAATTACTACCAAATTATTTTATCTTATTTATCAAATCATTTGATTGACTCAATTAAATTAAGAATTTGTTTTATTAATTATCTCATAATTATCACCAGATAATTAGTAGTTATCATCATATATTTGATATTAATTATCAAAGAATGCGTTTACCAAGTGTACTTTTAATTATTATAAATTTTTTTTTCAATGTCTAATCGTGCGAATCAATTGAACGTGAAAAAATTATAAACGTGAAAAAATTATTACTGAAAAAATTATTTTTATATTTGTAACTAAAATATTTGATATATACGATTTGATTGGCATTTTATTTGTATTAAACATATGTGTCATCAAGGAAGCAAAAAACACATAGCGATAATTAAATCTTTTGGTTGCAATTACCAAACACTTGGTTGATCTAATTTTTTAGCAAATTATAATCTGGTCTATAAATTTTCGTCTCGACAACAAAATCCTTTTTTCAGTGTAAGATTTCGCCATGTTATCGGTCTTTAGCGAAAATCAATCGTTATTATCTCTTGCAATGTTCCCAGAATATTTACGCAACCATTTTCAAGGCTGCGATTCTAATGTGTTCACGTTACATAAGATTCTACGTTCTAATCGAATAATAAAAATTGAAATAATAAGGATTCTACACTCTAATCGAGTAATATAGACGAGATTGATTATTTTTAAGCGTCAATTTTGGAAATAATTTTTACAAGTGGAATATATGAAATGTTCGAACTACACCCGCTAATAGAGATTCGCAGATTCACTGTTTGGCAAATAATTACACGTTGATAGATCTTCTAAGTTTATTAATTTTAATAAATTATGATTTTAAAATTATGATTTATTTTTTTATTATAATTATTACTTGAAACTAGTCTCAAGTGAGATACTCAGATTAGAATTTAGATGAGTCTTTCAGTTGAATCGCGACAATAGATACAAAAATTACATATAACATAATTTAACTGAAGAATTTATATCTAACTCTAGATAAAAATTTAAATATCTCACATAAGAAGACAAGTTTACATTTATATTATATTATAATTATATATTATATTTTATATTAGATATAATATATATAACATTAAATTTATATTTTATATTAGATATAATATATGTAACATTAGATTTACAGCCGCAATTCAGCTAAAACTCACGTCTCTAACTCTAAATTAAAAAATCTGAGTGTCTGAACTGAGGTAAGCTTTAAATAACTATTATTAATATGGACTTTAGACGTGCAGGGAGACATAGCCGAGACGGCTAGTAAGTCTTCTATTCCACGTCGACAACAACGATCGTTCACGCTCTATTACGTATATATACAGAGACGACGATTAGATCGATCGATTAGCACGATCGCGTGCACGGCAATTCGCGCGCGATTGATTCTCTCTCTCTTTCTTTCTCATGGCGAATTCTCTTTTGCAGATCTCGTTACGTCAATGGCGTCAATCCACCTATCTGCACAAATGCGGCGCGGCATTGTTAAACCAGAACTGGGCTATCACCGCGGCGCACTGCGTCGACAGGTAATCATTTTGTTTGCCGTCTCTATGGCATTCATAATCGAGTCTTCTCGCGCGATGATCTCAGCCGACGATCGCTAACGTTTTCTAATGAAGCGCAAAGACTTCGTGTCTCGCGCGACAACACGTACACGCGTTACAATCTCTCTTCTCGACGCGATGAGGAAAGATTGTCTCCGCTTGTACAAACATCCTTTCGAGCTGGCATTTGATAAGCGAAAAGACGGGAACTCTTATGTACAGGCCGTTCGCGACGTTCCAGTTAATAACGCATTACAAAGAGTTACGTGCTATATTCTCCAAAAATTCCGCACTAAGAAAATTATTTTTGTATTTGAAACTGAAATATTTGGTATGTATATGATTTCATTAGCATTACATATTTTTTATTTATATCAAATATACGAATTATTGAGAAAGCTAAACACACATAGCAACAATTAAATTTTTTGTTTGTAATCACCAAACATTTTCCTATTCTGATCAAATTATGATTCAATGTACCAAATTTTCGACAACAAAATTCTTTTTCAGTGCGGGAATTATTTAATAAATCTTGCAACTCCACATCACTCTCCGGCGCGCACGCGCGTTGACATATTTTTACTATTATTTAGAACTATTAATTTAAAGTTAATTTTGAGTTATATTAATAAAAACTATAAATAAAGTATAAATAAATTTCTAACTGTAAATACATTGAAAAAGAAATTGATTAACGAAACTAAGATTTAGTTAAGATATGATCAACCAAATTTTTGGCAATTACAACGAAAACATTTAATTGCCGCTTTTTTATATTATTTTCTCAGTAATATATTTACTTAGTCATTAAACTAAGCAAAATAACGGCAATTAAATTTTCTAATTACAATTATCAAACATTCAGTTGATCCCATTTTAACCAAATTTTAGTTTCAATAACCAAATCCTTTTTTCAGTGTAGAACACTACTATCATGGATGAATGTCTTACGGAAATTGTTAACCCGCCGTATTTCCTTCCCAAACGGAATCTCCGAAGAATTTACAGATTGATATGTGATTTGCAGCGTGCCACCTAGTGAACTACTGCTAAGAATCGGCGAATATGATCTCGCAAAGGAAGAGGAACCGTATGGCTATCAGGAGAGAAGAGTGCAGATCGTCGCGAGTCATCCGCAATTCGACTCGCGAACCTTCGAATACGATCTCGCCCTGTTAAGATTCCCCGAGCCCATTTTGCCGTTCCAGCCGAACATATTGCCGATCTGCTTGCCCGACGACGACGAGACCTACGTCGGTCGTACCGCCTATGTTACCGGCTGGGGCAGACTTCACGACGGTAATATAGTCTTCAACGAAAAGTATTTTCTTGATAACAGTCTTAATATATATACTCATTGCACATTTTAAAAAAGTTTATTATTATGGACTCAAAACAGAATTTATTCTTTTTAGAAAAATATCATAAAACTTGGTCGAAAAAGTCGTTTTTATTTTGACTTAGTATTTTTTATTGAAAGTTACTAGAATTCAGAATGTATTTTGAATAAAGTCATATTTGCTGGAAAGTAATATGTGTTTTGCTGTATATAATAATAGAGACATTCGTGTGTTCACTTTACTAAATGTCAACGAATTAATGGGGATGCGCGAGGCTGCTATTTATATTATTTTATATTCCCCCGGTACGAGATAATGCGCGATATACATAACAACGTAAATACTGAAATCTATTTTAATTCATTATTTTATTTTCATTCACTCTGATCAAGAAAGTAAATTTCAATTTTATTGAATTTAATTAAATTCTATTTATGATCAAGAAAGTACTATTTAAATTTTATTGAATTTGATTCTCCTTGTTGTTTAATGTTTAAACACAGATATTTGAAGGCAGAGTTTCTTCATATTATATTTTTTCAGATGGACCACTGCCATCCATATTGCAAGAAGTCGCGGTGCCAGTCGTTAACAATACCGTGTGCGAGGATATGTATAGAACCGCAGGTTACGTCGAGCACATACCGCATATTTTCATCTGCGCGGGTTGGAGAAACGGCGGATATGATTCCTGCGAGGTCGGTATTCGCTTTCAGTTCGCGATTTCACACGGTTTGGTCTAAATAATCGCCCTTGTTCACTCTTATATTAATATTTATGTTAATATGTTAATATTTTCTCAAAATATTGTTATATTATAACTACATTTAATATTGTTATGTTATAGCAACTACATTTCACTCGCGATTGAAAATCAAAAGCAAAATATATAAATTCAAATACCTACAAAAATATAATCTTATTCTTAGCGAAATCTTCTTATATGTATCCTCAAGAGGATTTTTCTGAAATCAAAGTAAAAATATTCTAATACTCAAAAAGAAGAAAAAATTCTACTTGCAAAATACTATTTCCTGCAATCTCATATTCTAAGCAAAAACTCTTACCAAAAGAGTATTCCTCTTTTAACGAAGTAAAATATTAATTATAAAATTTTATTGTAACATATTTTCTGTTCCTATAAATCAAGAGGAATATGTTTACTTGAAGCAGAATGTTTCTTTATTAGACAAAATTTTTGTTGAAAACAAAGACTTATACTGTAGAAAAAAAAGACGAAATTTCTTTAACCTTAAGAATATTGGGTTTAGAATATATTCCCCTTGATCTTAAAAAAATTTTCTTGAGACCATACAAATATATATATAAGAGGATTAAAGATGAGATTATATTATTTACCATACAAATATATATATATATATATATATATATATATATATATATATAAGAGGATTAAAGATGAGATTATATTGTAAAAGGGATCTCCCAGGCAATTTTATATCTCTCGTGGCATTATAATGTTACCTACACTCAAAAAAATGTTTTGTTGGTCCAAGTAGAGAATGCTACATGTCACAGTTAAAATTTATCACTGTTTTTTGCATCTGTTAGAAAATTGTCTGTGCATTGAAAAAATAATTTTATTGTTGAAACGAGAATTTAATATATCAAATCAAAGTTTGATTAAAATGGGACCTGATTAAAATCAATCAAATGTTTGATAACTGTTATCAAAAAATTTAATTGCCTCTATATGTGTTCTGCTTTCTCAATGATATATGAACTTTATACAAAGTAGAAATATGATGTCAACCAAAATATAAATATTTTAATTCCAAATACAAAAATTATTTTTTCAGTGTGTTATGGAGAATTTACAATATTCTAGCAATTTTACAAATAAATTCAAATGGGTGTGCAGACTATATATTTGTTTGTTTCTCGCGAGTCTTTTTTATCTACCACAGTTAATTTTGATAAGAAGTGTAGTTGGCTTTAATCTGGATGAGTGTCACTTCTTGCTAAATTCCACAAATAGTTAAAACAGAAATCCCGTCTCTGTCATTTGCTTTATATATAGAGTATATGCGACATTGCGGTGTTTGCTAGTCACTTGTTCATCTTATTTTTCAGCTAATTACCTGAATAACTCTCGTTGTGATTGCAAGACGATTTTTTTAGTGTAAAGGGCCACTGATTACTGCAACTTGAAGTATCGCAAAAATAATAATTTACGCCTACTTTGTTCTTCAGGGCGACAGCGGCGGCCCGATGGTCATCCAAAGAGCGCGGGATAAACGGTGGATTCTCGCCGGAATCATTAGCTGGGGCATCGGTTGCGCCGTGCCCAATCAGCCCGGCGTTTACACGCGCATCTCGGAGTTTCGCGAATGGATCAATCAGATCCTGCAGTTCTGAGATATTGCGGCCTACGCGGCCGCGGAGGCTTGAAATTCGCGCTCCCACGACGCGCCGACTCCGGACGCTCGTGGCGACCATCGTGAGCAGGGCGGATGGCACCATCTAACGGAGCAGTGAACCGAGTGCAACCTGGTGGAAAATTGAGGGACCCCGGCGCGAGGATCCGCCATGGATCCTGTGTGTGTGCGCGTTGCAAACTCGGACGACGTGTGGAGCCACCGATTCGACTTTCGCGAGTGAGCCGCGCGCGATCACGATGAGACCGACGATTCTTCCTTTTCTTTTCTCTTTCTTGGTGCGACGATTCGGTAAAGGGACGATGACACGACACCGTTTCATCCCGACACCAGGGAGAAACGTCCCGGATAGGTGATGAACGGACATCGTGACGGAAGATGGACAAAGAAACGCGTATCGGCGATGAACAGCTCACGAGAGGGAATCTGTCGACCTCCTTCGGCCCAATGGAGGATATCTCATTAGCTGGGATCGCGATGTTAAATGTTTTCTTTTTCTAATTGTGCAATTTAAGTTCCCCTCGTATGAATAATCGGACATCCTTCCCTAGAGGCATTCTTTAATCCCGTCCTCTTCTCTTATCGAGCACGCGTTGGTCGTTTCTATCTCATATGTTCATCTTGCTCAAAGTCTGACACTTGACGAGCGCATGTAAGAGAGCACGCGGTTCAATCAATGAATTTGTATATTAGACGAATTTATCATTTTACTCATCGCCACGAGATAACCGTTGTACGAAGTAACGAAAATATTAACCCGTTCGTATCAACCCAATTCGTATCGAATTGTAATTCGATAATTTGCAAATATTGTTATCGAGATTGGGTTGAAGTTAAATTAAAATAATGCAAGCTAAAATGTATGCGACATATGTACAATAAGACACCCCATGTAGCACAAATGTCCAAAATACATTTCAGAGATGTACCAGCCCAGACAGCATAAGATCTCCTGAGGACGTCCTGAGGACGAAGAAAAGTCCTGAAGATTTCCTCAGGATGTATTCTGGATGTCCCCTGGACATTTGTTAGGGAGGAATGTGCGATATTTCTGGGACATCTCTAGCATGTATTTTGGATATTTATGAACTTAATTCGACCTAAATTGGAATTGGCGCCCGAATAACTGCAATTTGATTGATATTTTGTATATTTTCCTGTCTGTAGTTTTAAGCGAGCGATCGTGTAGTTACTGTGATTCAGAGTACACGTATTTTTTCTAAAAAATATACGTATCTGTATCAATAAAAATAACAGGACAGTTTTCCGTATCATCGAGCGTGCGCTCAAAAAGAGTACAACACCGTCATACAGTTTAGTAAACTTATTCAACGTAGCCAAACAAATATTTATTTGCAGCGAAAACCTCAGTGCTCCTAAATGCGACAGTGACTCGTAAAACTTCGTATTGACGGAACAAAGTTCTGTCCGCAAACGCACCAATAATAAAATCTAGTGCGTGCGTGTGTATGTGTGTGTGTGTGTGTATGTGTGTGTGCGCGTGCTTTGTGTCGTGCTTTACGTGTGTCAGCTTTCTATCGTATTTTTTGAATATCGAGAAAGCGTAACATTCACGTTTTTTTACGACAACCCTTTTTTATGCAAAAGTATCTCGACTCTTGTCCATTTATTTATTAAGTGCCGGAATATAAAAGCGCCAGCGCCAGACGCGCCGAACATGACAAACTAAGCTTTCCGCGGCGACGCAAAGGAAAATGGAGGGGGAAGGAAATCAATCGCGAATTTGCCCGGCTACACGAGATTTGCACCAACAGTTTTCGAACGCTCGTTTTAAACCACGCAATATGCAATATTGTTTGTTATCAAGCTCGTTTGCGAAATGTAAGGCGAAAATGGTCCCAAATGCTCAAGATCTAATCCTTCTTATTGTTTTGGTCTTTAAATATGAATATTTGAGCTCTCACAATAGAATACATGCATACTAAACGAGAAAATATAAAAATACTTATTCTTGATGGGTGCTGACAACATATTTACTTAAAAATCCAAATTCCTTTAAATAAAATAAACAATTGCTTTCATAAGAAGATAAAGTTTTAGGAAAATATATATTTTCTTATATTTAAGAAATATTTTATATTAGAATAAATAAATACGTTATTAGTACCCATCGCGTGAATAAAAATAATTTTTGTTTAATATTTTTTCTCTTAGAGTATCTTAGTCAATATACGTATGATATATGTATATACAGAACAGTTAATATCACACCTGTTGTGTGCAGATAGAACTCATCGAAGTGAGCATAAAATTCCTCTACCATATCGCAAACAACTACGTGCAATTTTGAGTTATTCGTTAAAGAAGATTGGTGAATGATGATCATACGCAATATGATAGATGAACTGTGATGGCGATGTTTATCGTCGTGTGTTTGCATATTAGGTCAAACTGAACAAAACGGAAAGAAATTTATAGTAAAACTTATCATAGAACTTTGTAACCGAGGAATAGATCGATATTCTACAGTAATTATCCTTTTATTTCATGTGTGCTATTTATATTTTAGAAACTGAAATATATTATTAAAACAGTGGGTATTTTCCTAGCGAAATTTACTGTTTCCTTAGCAAGATAGAAAAAACAGTCTATTCCTGGACTAATAAAAATATAATAATAACATAAAAACATAGTAAAAACATAGAAACATGAAAACATAGTAATTTACATAGTAATTTATGTAAAAAAAGAAAACTATAATATTCTCTCTGTATATCATTTTGATTATTAACTAAAGTAGATTAGTGCATCATCATGCAACAATTCTTTTTAATTGATAACTTAAAATTTTATGTGGTTGTTTGCGAAATGGTAGAAAAATTTTTAGTTTAGACCTAATCTACATATGCACGAGGTGCACGAGGTATTCTAAGTCAAAATTTGAATCCTATTTTTGACCTCCATATTCCATTTGATGTTTATTTCGAGACTCCTATGTCAATCTCATTTGATTCTATTCAACCTATTAGCTTTGCCGAGAAGTCCTCTTTAGAACCTAAAATGGGATTTTGTGCGTTTTCTGTCATTTAGAAGTGTTTAGTGGGATTTCAGTTTCTATGTATGTCACATATACACTGGTCCTTCGAGATATACAGATGTTAGAAAGTTCAGGTCAAAAGTAAAGCTAAAATTTCGATTCGGGATAGCATTAGTGTCAAACACCCTGTATATGTTTTTAAAGACCAAAACAATAAAAATGTCCAGGATTAGTTACGAGTCCAGGTATTGGTACTTTTATACCTTAATATGTTCGTAATAATCGACTCGCGATTTTCACTGTCGCACGTCGACGTCAAGCTGCATGATTTCCTTCCTCTTTTTTCTCTTTTCTCTCCCTTGCAAAACTTATTTCGCATTTCCGCAGTGATTCCTGTGGAAATCTAAATCCATTCTTGCGACCTCATGAATATCTCGTTATCCCGATTGATTCCGCGGTAAATCGAAAGGAAACGCGCGCCCAGCTGCGGCTTTCCGTAAATTTCCCCCTTTTCAATTTCCCTGTCTTTTTCTCTTCGACGAGCACTTCGCTTCGTAGTTACTTGAGTTGTAGTCTCTAGTCTCAAGCAGAAACGAACTGACGATGCCTCGACGAAGGCGAAAGTGTGCTCATTAATCTCAATGGTTCGCTCGCGAGCGATCAAAACTCGTTACGTAAATTACGATACGAGATAGCACCGAGAACAGATTTTGCGGGTCGAGTTTGCCCGTATAATCAGAGAGCGGAGGGATCAACGCGCCTGTACCGCGAAATATGTACCGAGATGTGTTATTTAATTTAATTTATAGAAAGAATTATATATATTATATAAATATATGCAAATTTTTTTATTATTATTGATATATACACGTGTGTGTGTGTGCGCGCGCCGCGCGTGTGTGTTTATACAGTGGCTGCGTGTGTATGCACGTTTTTTTTTTAATGGGACTCACAGAGATACACTTTGTAGCATGTGTTGACGACATTTGGGGGCGTCCTAAATATCTAACATTCCGATTAACGCGGAAATTCTGGAAGACAAATCTCATTATAATTAAAATATCAACAAAGTCATTCCCGTAATTTTCTCTAGCGTGATAGATGATTCGATGCGAATGAGAGCGGCAAATATTTCTTTTTTAATTCCTTGTTCAACGTAGAAAAATGAACGAAGCAGAGAGAGAACCATGACGGTGATAATCGCTAAAAATGCCAATAAAGGTTGATAACGGCGTGGTTGTGAAAATTCAACAGAGTTTTATGGGTCGATTTGACTTTCCGTCGATTACGCGAAATCTTGGGTCATGTAATAACTATAATATCAAAGATTTCTCAGGTAAAATGATTGTAATTTTTTAATTTTACTATTTTATATGGAAATATGTAATTTCAATGTATAAATTTTGTACTTAATTTTATACGTAACTTTTTATACAATGCAATTTTTATGATTTCACAATTTAAAAGTATTTTTCATAACTTAATGAAAAATTGATTATATCGTAATTTGATGGAACAATGAGTCTTTTGTCATACGTCGCGCACGTTGCTTCGCGAAATCACAGCGGCACGAAAATATAATCGTTGTATTTTGCAAGAGACAAACTGAATGAATCAGGCTCAGAATCATCTCAGATGTGCAACCGAACGGGAGAGAACCTTCCGTTCCTTTAGTTTTACCCCGAAATCTCCAAAATTGCTCATTATACAACCCAGTGACATAATGCCTTGCGCTTCCTGTTCCATCGCGACGCGACACGTCGCTCGCTAATTAGAGATGCCGACAAATGTCGCCGACCCGAAAACGCAGAACACTGCGAGCGAAATAACGCGTTTCCGACGCACTTGTAAATACTCGGTATCGATCGATCGGTGGTGCGGTGTGCACGAGATGCGCGTTCACCCTGCCTAGCACCCACCCTATCCGTCCACAATGCGACACCCCCTCACCTCCTCCATTTCACCTTTTGTCATCACGTCCACCTTTATGTTTAGCAGACGAACATTAAAACACAGCGATCGCCCGTGCTCGCAATTGCATACCGAACTGTCGATTGTACTTATGCTACCTTTCCCCTTCTTCTTCTCGCCCCGTTATCTCGCTCTGCTTTGCGTATTTACCGCGTACATTTCTCTCCTCTACATTCGCGATGGCATCGTGAACAATAGCGTGGGCGTTTGATATTTGCGCAGTGCCGCATCGTAGAGAAAGATAGACCGACAGAGAGAGAGAGAGAGAGAAAGAGAGAGAGAGAGAGAGAGAGAGAGAGAGAGAGAGAGAGAGAGAGAG